GGATAGAAACAGTGGAAGCTAGAGTTGGTTGGCTAAAAAATATAGTCGTGATTTAAGGATCACGTTTAAGCTCAAGCGCGTCCATTATTAGCCAAACTGTGACCACACAAAAGGCCACACCATCTTGGTCTTCATACCTACTTGGTAGGTTGTTTGGTAGTTAGGCCGACGGTTTAATTGTTGGGTTCATTTGTGTGTGGTTCTGTGTGCGAGTTAGTTAGTTATTTAATTTCTTGATTTAATTTTTTTTGGTTACTTGGTTGCTTTGAACCTGGAGATTAGGCAAGTTGGTATGTAGCCCAGCTAGAAAGTGGCAGGCCGGAAATAATTGTGCAAGTTGACGGAAAGTCGGCTTTCACTCTGTAATGCTAATAGCAGACTTTCTTCATTGAATAATTCACAATCAAGCAAGTTGTGATGGCGACTTGGTCAAAATGCAATGGGCGAATTGCCGACTCGGCTGAAATGACATTCCGCCCATTGATTTGTCCTGTCTCTACAGCCCGCCTTCTGCCAGCCTGTCTGACTCTGGCCTCATTGCCGCTAACTCTTAACTCTTCGGTCAAGAGAACAGCCCAGAGTGTTATCGATTAGCGCCCTACCTGCCTGCTAATTTAAAGGCGTCCGCTGGGTCTCGATGAGTCATCCACGCCCAAATGGCCCACGCGGCCAAATGGTCGCTCTCAGGCACCCAGCGGGGGCCTCCTGCTGCTCACATGTTTGGAGGCCTCCAAGAGCGTTGTTGTATTTACGATACAATCCCTTTTTCCCAGCCATTCCCTCTTGCTCGTCTTCGGCTCTCCAATTCCATCATCAACGAGACTAACTATGCTTTTTGCCAACAAAGTCAACAGAAAATATCATTTGCTATTGTATGTCTGGTAAGAAGATTTCGAGGCTATCATTAAAACTGTCAATAATAACTTTACTAAGAATCAAGTCCCTCTTGATTGAGAGTTCAGATCACTCTAGGTCGCATTAGGTGATGAATGACTGGGGATTGAGTTTTCCCTCAATCCTGAGTAGGCTTCACTTTTCCATTAAGTTTTGCATAGCCTTGCCTCCCAAAAGGTATTCTCATCCAGGTTGGAGTGGACTACGGAACTCGAATCCGGCTTGTGGTAGTGCAGCTCAGAGTCTCGACACGTTAACCATTACAAGACACATTGCCACGAATGCCTTGGGGTCACAGGACAGACATGAATTTCAAAGAGCGACAGTCCTTACTCATATCACTTTCTGTGATGGGATTGTCGATGGGGCAAAGTCACACTTGCCGCTACAGGGACCACAGTGCTTGTTTTTCTTCATTTGGTAAGTAGGTTACGAGACCACCATATGTGGTCTACTTATCTATTTGATCTACTAGTAGTCTCAAAGCCCACTTATCAAATGAGCTTACATAATTTAAATCGTAGATATGAAGACCGTGTTTTTGCAACTTAGTTGCAGCGTCAAGGAGACCTTGTGGAACGTAGCTAGTTCTGCATCCTCTGCCATAGTATTCATAATTTCCAGCTTCGGACAATTGACTTGGTAAATTCGCAATACAAAGGTAGCCAGGTCTACCAGTAATTCTTGATAAGAACAAGATTGCTTTACTGAGACCCATTCATCTGATTGTGGCAAAATTAAGCTACCTGTCCTTAAGCCACTGCAAGCGATCTAAGCTAAGTTTTTATTCGAGATTTACTGATACTATGGAGACCCACTTGCATCGAAAATAATAACTTTAATAATCTAAGCTGATGCTTAGGACCTAGTATACCTAAAGTTAATGTCCTAGTCTCATCGGCGCCTCCAACGGGATATGGGTCGGGATCAAGCATGGCCATTGGTGCTCTTGAGCCACAGGAAAGATGCGAGTCCCAAGATGTGACGTTGTGCTATTGTTTAATCATTAATGACAGTTTTTGACATACCTATTGGTATCCTGACGGTCGCGAATGTGCACAAGTTTCGAGTGGTCTCAACCGCCACTGATTCACTGATCAGAAGAATGTCTTCTTCAAAGTTCTGAATGTTGTTTGATGCATTTCGGCTCGAGCCGTACAGCTTAGGCGGCAAGGCATTTGACTTTCCACCCACAAGTCCACCATTCGAATCTCGTCAGGGTGCTGCCGACATCAAAATTTGGTCCAGCATGGGCGAAAACGGCTTTTCTGCTGCATGATTGCCCTCCTCCATTCATCGTGGGCAGTTAAATTCAAAAACCAATACACCTCCACATTAAAAATCCTCTTCTATATAGCGACTGAGTAGGTTGCGAAAGTTTTAGTAAGGTTCAGAGAAGAGCTAGAGTTTCAGGGCTTTTCATATGATAAATTGACTGATATTTGGGTCTCCAACAATGAAATGAATAGACCTCATGATGACATTTACTTTCTTATAGTCCTGTCTCTCAAAGGGTTTTGTTTTCGTGCTGAACTAAAGTCTGCATTTTGCCATAATTCGGATTCAAGATTTTCAAGATAAGCCAAACATATCTCAATTTACATGTTGGGTTTGGATTGGCGTTGAAGGAGTTCAGAACTCTAGTCCGGTTTGGACTATAGGATGTTTAGGAGACAAAGTTGATTACAATTTAAGGGCATTGTGAAACAGCTACATCGGATTCTGGCAAATACAATTATCGGTCCTTATATCACCTCAAACGATATTGACTGACTCTAGTTCTTATATAATATCCTATTTGTTGTTCACCATACAGACTCCGTTTAAGTGACTGCAAGCAAATCTTTCAAGTAACAATTGCCCAGGTTATTAATCTCAGTCCCAATGCCTTTATCTGCAAAAAATTTGCGGCTTTGCAACATAGTTATCTAAATCAACCGACATTTAAGTATTTGCTTTGATATCCATTCATTTGTAGGCCTTGGCCTTATCTTTCCCACATGCATACAATCATCTACAATATTTCAGCTATGCGTTATCGCCAAGGTTGCCATCCCACTTGGGATAGGCTGTTTTTGTATCTATCATAAAAGTGGAAGCCCTCATCCTAGTTGCATTTTCACATAATTCTGTACAACTTAGTCGACTTAAAAGTCGTAAAAGCGAAAAGAGTCTTCTTTTAATTATCCCACGTTTTCTGGCCATCACCTTCGCTGCCTGCTCCTGAATCAGCCAAGTACCATTTTCATAGGGCATATTGGTGGAGCAGAAGCCTGATTGAAGCGGCAGTTGCGAGTATCATACACGGAAACTGTCTCGCGTCAGCAGACTGGGCTCTCGCTAAAGCGATAAAAAATTTGTTCGTCTCACTTAAGGCTATGTTGCTGTTTCTGAATGCAGGATAGCTGGTCATACGTTGGCCAGATCTAGAATGGGCTGAATATCAGGTCGCTCGTATCAGGCTCGTGGTTCATAGTCTAGAGCCAGTCTCAAAAAACGTGGCAAAAAATAAAGATTATTAAAAGGAAAGAGTTAGTTATTCCACGGATGGATGTTAGGGTACAAGATAGACCTGACTGGTGCCTCATAGACTACCCTCTAACCAAACCAAAACAAATCGAAGCAAAGACCAGGATTTTTTAGTCAATTCCCTCGTACATCATTAA